TTATCGCATGTTATGACTGCAATTTGGTCGATTCTGCCTGGAGACCGATTTGGGAATCCTGTTAGATAACTACTTCAACGTGTGCTGTAATGTAATGCTACAGGGAAAAGCGACGGTTGGATGTTATTTGGCCGCTGCTGGTAAGCAGCCCCACACAAAACTTGCCACCTTTGCAGAGTGGAATTCCCAAAACTGAAGCAGCCAGTTGCAAGTGACCATCGCTCCCTCACGAACAGCCCATGAAGTCTGGCACTGCTGCCGGACGGAGCCCTCCTGTGTCTCCTGAGCTGCGACTTCTGCTATGTAGGTGGAGAGAAGGACAGCTAGGACCTGAACTTTTTCTGCATAAACAAGGAACAGTCCTGCGCATGCTATGCAGCATTTCAGAGGGATGTTTGTATCACCCAAAACTATAGCATCCCCTTACATTTACACAGCAAAAAGGCAGTGCACTACTGGCATGAGAGGGAGCGCTTAGGAGCTTTTAGGCAAAGGTATAGCAAGATTCTATAACTGGAGGCTTTAAGTTAGACAATGTGAAATTCAAAATAAAAATATAGTTTAAAAATGTCACAGCTTCTCTGGAGCGAAGCGGAATTCTCCCTTGCTGCCAGTCAAAAGCACTGGCTATGCTTTACTGCAGAGCAGTTGGCCAGCATAGGTACCTGTTGGATCATGACTCAAGTGACCAGGATTTGCAGGCATGCTCTCCCTGTAAGGATAACAACTTCTTCTGCAGTTCTCTTCTTTAAGCACTTTTCCTTTCCTGACTGACTTGGAGTTGTTCTGGAGCATTCATGAATGGCAACTCCGCATTGATACAGAAAAGCCTTTTGCAGCAGCTGAGGCTTATTGTACTTCCTTGACCACACAAAAATGTAGTCAGAGGTTAGGTGAACAGAGCAGCAGCACAGGTGTGCTGGAGCAGCAGGACCTTGACCTATGCTGCTGAATAGGAAGACCAAGTAGCCAGCAGATAAACCCACTTGACCACAGATAACAAGCCTTCTGGTGTGTCTTGCTGCGCGTGCTTGTTAACTGAGACCCATTAAGGTGAATTAGCCAGATTCACGTGTCTGCCATCATGATAAAGCTCAAGGCCTCAGATAAATCCAAATCCCTTGTTTTTTAAACAGAAATCACAGGGGTTTTTTTTTCTATTATGTGAAATCCTCAACCCTAACGTCATTTGAGGAAAGGGTTTTTTAAGCCCTACAGTAAGTAAGTGATGCAACTATTGACTCATTGCTGGTTTGGGATTTGACACCAGAGGACTGTGCTGGCCAGACCAGCAACCTGCCAGACTATGACTTCTTTGTTTCTTCGATGACAACTGATCTGAAGAAATGAAATTATAGCCTCATCCTTTAATTTAATAATTTCTCATATTCTAGTTTTGTACTTAAAACTAACTTTCTATTTCTAGGTGAAATAGTTTTGGGTTTTTTTTTCTCTAAGCAGACAATGTGTTTCTCTTTAGCAGTTTTATACACAAAAATATACATTGATAAGAAGTCTCCAAGTTGTTTTAAACAGATGATGTAGCAATTCCCTGATCACTTTAGAAAAACTGGACAAACATACATATCACTATGTTGAAAAAGTTAGAGCATGAGTGGTATAATTTGCATATTATAGTTAACTCATACCCAAACTGCTTTTTGCCAATAAATACCGAAGAGTGTATGTTAGACAAATAAAAGTGCTTCCTGCCTTTTAGGGAAAACAAGCAGCTAAAAAAGAGGAGGAAACAAATACAGTTCTTGCAATATACTATTATTTACTGCTCTGTTGTATGCGGATGTATGTAAGGCATGCTGGATACTCACACATGCTGAGAAATAAACAAACCATTACATACCAACAGATCACTAATCCAGGAGGAGTGAGCTATGGGTTACTGCTTCTTATGTGTACCTTGGATATGAGTTTATCCCTGACTGCACACACACGGAACATAGTTTGCTGGATTAATACCCTCTTAGGTGCATAACCACTCCCCAGCCACTGATTTTTTCATACCTTTACTTATTTAGCAGCAGGAGATGGACAGAGACAGCCAGGCACAGTGGCATTCCAAAGGTCAACATCTTTGGATGCAAGGACGGAGCCAAGGGCAGAGTGCTGGAAAATGTAAGATAGCCGAGTACTGCAGCGATGGCATTGAAAACATGATAGTAATACACTTGACAGGAGGCGGCAATATCATTTGTATCACACATAATGCTTTCAATCTACCATAAACCTCTTTAAAAAACTAATTACAAAAATTCTTTACACTGTTCAAACAATTTCTCTTTTGATAGCAGGGAACAGGGTACGCCATATAGTTTTTTCTCTGTCATGCTGAGCCTACTGCCCTTTTGTGTTTTTCTCTATGAAGTTTTTTTGTGACAATATCCCATTGCCTTACACCTTGCAGATCATTGCTCTGCCCTTATCCTTTAGCGGAGTGGCAAGAGTTTTTCAGATTCCCGTTACACATCTCCCACTGTCCATCTGCTATTACCACCTTAACGAGAAATCACTTGTTGAAAGGTGGTTAAGTGGTTACAGTCCAGCACAAGGTTGCAAGCTCATTATATTACTTCCCCCTCCAATATTAAGCAACAGCAATAAGCATCCGGCCAAGAGTCTTAGCTGATATGAATCAGTGCATTTCTACTATTTCAATAGGGTTACCTTGGTTTACATGACATTTAGCTTAAAAGCATTTACCATTAGGCTAATTTAGATTGCAGCCTTTGGTTAAAGTGGGTTTCTGTGCGCCACCCTTCTTACACAGAATCTCGGGATAATCAAGGAAGGTTCTTTTCTATTCTTTATTATTCTTTTAGTCATCAGGGATGGGATGTTTTAAAGATAATTACTGAGTTATCTCTAAGTAAGCTGGGTTATTTTGGTAGCGCTCATGATGTGAGAAGTGGGTTTGTGTTTCCCCTCAGAGCACTGAGGTTTACTGTAAAGCTACTCTGGCTCTGGATTTACATACCATTTGCAGAGGAAGATCTATCCACGTAAACCTTCCAGTTTAGGTTTTGCTGAGTCAGTTTTATATATCAGGGTGTTTAAAAAAAGGGAAAGCAAACCAAAAAGGAAAAGTAAAGGCTGTTTTAAAAAAAAAAAAAGGAAAGCAAATAAAAGGAAAAGTAAGCTTCAAATACAGTGAGGCCAGAGGTAGTTGACAGCTGCTTAAACAGTTTTTGTTCTTAAAGCAAACCCCTAAATTTCTCTTCCCTGTGATCTGTTTCCACTAAACTAGAAGTGGTCTTTGCAGCCGTCCTGTTAGGGTTGTGGATTTCTAGGCAATCTCCCAAATAAGCATCACAGAACAAAACAGACAGAGATAAGCTGTTACCGCACATTTGTAAACAAGAAAAAGCCAAACCGAGCTGCCTCTTATAGAGACGTATAGCAGGAGTACAAAACTGCTGTGAAAAAAAGGCCGGCAGTGTGATTCAGGACATACCAATCTGGGGGAATGATATCGTGGCTGTACTTCGGTTTGGAAAAAAATGTTCTGAAAGGTTCTCTTGCTGCCACATACTCTATTTTAGTTCTGGGGCTCATCCTCTAATGTCATATATATTCTAAGTAGTGAAGGAGCCACCTGATGTCCAGCTTCATTTCAGGGAAAGGGAGGGCATAGGTATGATGGGCACCAGAAGACAAGTTTGGATGTACTCAGATTACTGGATGATAGTTCAGAGGAGACACCTTGAAAGGTCAGTGTCAGGAACGCAGCATGCTAATGATGCTAATGATATAAACAACACCCAAGATAGTTAGCTCTTGATTTGGTGAAGCACTTATGTACACGTTGTACTTGAAGCACCTGAGCAGTTGTATTCATTTCAGCCAGGTGACCTGCATGCCTACAGCCAGGCTTATACCTCACCAGACAGGAACTCCAAGCATTGCAGAATGACAGAATTGATTTTTCTTGGCATTTATCCGCACTCTTTAAATGCAAAGATTAGTGCATCTTCCTTTTATAACATTGCCTTCTGCTGGTGTTCATTCTCCTGCTTCCAGGCTACTCTGATTCACGGCACAAGAAAAGCTTTTCCAAAGGACTCAATAACTCCTTTTCCCCAAAACACACACATCATCTGTATATATTTGTCTGTATCCCATCTTATGTCCAAAAATGAACAAATCACTTCTGTGCCTCTATTCTCTCATACCCAAAAGGAAAATATTGCCTGAGAAAACAGTATTAGTTTTAATTTTTTTTGGCGTAATAGGACATAATTTATTATTCTGCTTATGATCACTGACAAAGTCCCAGAAAAATGCAAAGCTTGTCATTTTGAGATCTTACGCTGATTGTAACTTGTCATGTCATAGGCCCTTTTAGCACCAGAGACATCATTCTGGCTTAGTAATCCCTTCAGAGAATTCCTTCCAACAAATATAGAAGACTGCCATCATGATGACAAAAATCCTTTCCCCTAAAACTGTTTATCATCCAAGAATAAATAGCAATGAAAAGAATGACTTTCCGAGACTTAAGGGTTCATAATCCATCTATCAGGAAGATATTACTACAAGTATTGTACATAAGCCGCTTACCCTTTCCAGTGTCTTACAGTCATCTGAATGTCAGTTTAAAAAAAAAAAAAATTAAAAAAAAGAAGATGAAGTTATAATGCTATATCAACAGACAGCTGTCCTAGTGGGCACTGGGAACACAGAATGACTCGCATTGCTGAGCCGTGCAGTCATTGCCAAAGGAACGATGAGCTCACATTTCATTCCGATTCACATACTCGGTGCGGTTAGACTGTGAGGCTCACCCTTCCTCGCCCAACTGACGCCCCCCTCCCTGCCTCGACACCAGATCTGGCTCATTAACATGTCTGGAATGAGCGCGAGCCTACCTCTCAGCTGGCAAGCCCAAGGGACATACTTGGATTCCCAGGTTGGAAGATTATCTCATTCAAGCACAGTTCTCCCAAAGATATATAAGCAAAGCTAGCGTGGTGGTCCCTGCAGAGCTGGCTTGAGCTCTTGGGAGTTTCAGCCATACAGGAGTACAACCTTCAAACGCTGGCAAATATGATGATGATGAAAGTAGAAGAGCTGGTAGGTACAACCTTCTTTCATTTATTCATAATCACTTTTCTTTCTAGACTGTCGTTATACCAGGCAGAGAGAGACAACCTTTGTGGATCACTGAGGCGATTTGGCAGGTTACCAGCACTGCCGTGCTCTAGGTGCAAAACCTGTGCGCACTGTATGTTACCCTATTACAGTCTCACTTTAACTTTTCCTTGGGAGGGGGGCTCACCACTGATACAACTACATAGCTGTTGGGATTTTGCATCAGAACACAGTTCACCAGGAAGAAGAGACTGACCAAGATTTAACCGTGTATTTTCCTTTGACCTTGATTTTCATTTTTATTTTTTTAGAAGCTGTTAAGTTTATGATCACACTGAGTAATTCCAATCCAGTAAGGGACTGAGAGGAGGTATCAATGCAGGGAAACCAAAGTATTTTCTAATACTAAACTAACAGTTTAGTAACAATATTCTTTTCTAATACTAAACTAACAGCTCTTACACCCACTGCTGTTCACGGCGTAACAAGCCTTTGAAAAATAATGTCTAAACCAGACATTCCACTGCAGGGTTCAGACTAATAATATCTGATTTGATCAATAAACTGGGAAAACAGCAATGATCCAGTAAAACACTGGACGATTATACCGAAATTGCTTTTTTTTTCCCAGATGGCTATGTTAAGATGCAACTGCCGTACAGCCTAACTAGTTAATGCCGTCTTAAATTCTTTGGCAAGGCCCTGGCAGTTTCTCTAGTGTTAAACTCCATAACAAACACAATTTTACAAGGTGATTGAATAGAAAGGCAGTCTAGGACACACTGAAGCACTCTCAAAATACACAACAGCCTCTACTAAGTTTAACAAGTTATCTCTTTGTACACACTTAATCGAGCATCAGAAATATTTCCAAAAGCTATTGAAAGCTGTGCTGCTGCACAGCATGACATAGCTTCTGCGCAGGAAATACCTTCTGCTGTTTTGCCAAGTGCTATAAATGGGGACTTTGGTACTGACAGCAACGGGTAAAACCAGCCTTGAAATTACTCAGCAACCCGATTTAACTGCATTGGATGTGTTTCAATAAAACTGTAAGGTCCCAAGGGAGAAGGCCTCTCCTCCCACTCTACCCCCTCAGTTCCCCTGCTCAACACTCGCAGGGTGCTGGTGGCTGGTTGAGGTGGCTCTTTTCACCACAGCCTTTTACAGGCTTCTGAAGACTCTGACACATGCTGGCGAGTGAACGAACAAGAAAACCCCAAACAAAAAAGAGTTGCTCTTCCCAACTCACTGGCTTTTGTCAGTACAGCCGCACCTCGGCCCCAGCCAAGCAGGGAGTTAGGCTGTGAGTTGGCCTCATGGGTCTTGACCCAAGCCCTGAAGATACGGGGGGTTGCTGTGTGGGTGCAGGAGATCTGCCCGCAAGCAAGATTGCTCTAGCCGTTCACATACACAGTTAATCCAGGCACAGGCTGAATGAGGTCTGCACTCTGTCTGTCACACGCTCCTAGAGCAGGACAGGAATGACATGTAATTAGCCTCTAGGTAATCCATGTTCCCAGGGGGTGGCTACTGCAGTCATGAAACTGCTGCTTATATTATACCACGCTTGCTTTTACAGGTGACTGGGAAGAAAGCTGACGATAAAGAGACTGGCAGCTTCCTCCCTGAGGACTTCAAAAATGGAGAGTATGAAGCTGCTGTAAGATTAGAGAAGCAGGAGGACCTAAAGACAGTCTCTGAACACTCACTGACCCGAGGTGATCTGGCTTATGAGAAGGAGAAGAAACTAGAAGCAGAGGTAGGCTCTTGGGTTTTGTGCTTGGCTTTTTATCATCCTGTGTGCACTTTCTGCTGCAGCCCTTGATGTTTTGCCTCTTTCTAAGTTAGAAATGCATGCATGGTGAGCTAGATAAACCCTTGGGAGAGCACTACCAAAGGAGGTTTGTCTAAAGTCCATTGAAGGCCATGGAGATCTGCTGACTCCTGTAGCCCTATGGATGCAGGCAGTAACACTGTGAAGCAGAACCCAAAACTCCCCCTACAATGTCTGACTGAAACCCTGGGGGCTCCCTCCTGCCCAGAGTCATCTGCTGCTAGCTGTCAGTAGAGGGGGGGAACAAACATAACCAGTAAGACACCTTCAGCTTGCACACCTAATGACTGCCACCAAAAATAACTGTCTTGGTTTCGGCAGGGATAGAGTTAATTTCCTTCCTAGTAGCTGGTACAGTGCTGTGTTTTGGATTTAGGATGAGAATAATGTTGGTAACACACTGATGTTTTAGTATAAACACTGCTTAGCAACAACTAAGTCAAGGACTTTTCAGCCTCTTATGCCCTGCCAGCAAGAAGCCGGGAGCGGGCACAGCCGGGACAGCTGACCCCAACTGGCCAAAGGGGTATTCCATACCATGGGACGTCATGCTCGGTATATAAACTGGGGGGAGCTGGCTATTAAGGCAATGATCTAAAGATCAAACCCTAAATGCAGAGAACAATAAAAAGAAGAGGTGGAAATAACTTGAATAAGAATTCAGCTGAAAAAAACGTATACCATATGACAGGGTCTCACCAATATATTTAATGATACCATGGGACAGAGTCTGTCATCTGTATTCACCTTGAGTTACCCCTCGTTTGTGAATCCCCCTTCTGAAGTCAAGGACACCTCATGGTACCCGAGATCTTGGCCCTTCAGGCAACGCATTTGCCCTTGATGTCAGCAGTGCCCTATACTGACTTCATACAGGGATGCTTTTTACAAGCAGGCTCGAAGAAGTCTTAAACATTTATTGAACTGCTTCTCCAAGGATACTGGGGACATTCTTTGTAGTTTACTGAAATGTAACACTTACTGACTGAAATGCTAAAATCAGTATAAACCTTGCTTTTCACTTAAGGGTATATTTTTCATCAAAGACAATTAAGTTACAATAAATCAGAAGCTGCATCATAAAAGTGGTTGAAGGCAAAACGCTTGGTGGAAATCAGTTAAAACTGCAGGGGCTTCCCAGCCCTCGTAAGCTGCACATGATGTTTCTTAAGTTGTTGGGCCAGAAGGAAATACAGTGTCTCTCTGACTCCTGGCCTAACACAGACCAAAAACTTATGCTATCTATCCCACGACATACGGCTGAAGCAGCATTTAGGAAGAGGTCAAATGGTGTATGAAAAATTATAGATGATGTAGAATTTCTCACACACTTAGTAACTTATTCTAATGGTCAATTAGCCCTAGCTGTAAAAAAAAAAAAGACAACTTATTTCAAAGTTCATCCAGTCTTGACTGAATTCAGCTGAATAGTAGCACACAATGTCCTCCACTCTGAGAGGGAGAGGTGGTCACACTCAGCTCAACTTACGGGCCTTCCCTGATTTGTTTCAGCTGAAGAAGAAGAAATTAGAGGAGAGGTCAAAACTTGAAAACTTGGAGGATCTTGAAAAAATTATTCAGCTGAAGAAGAAGAAGAAATGCAAGAAAGTTAATGCTCCTGTTTTAAAGGAACCTGAACCAGAAGTTATTGTAAGTTATTTTGAAGTACCTTCTTCTGGGAAAGCACTGATGGGGTTTTGCGCCACACGCATTTACGCCCTGTATATTTCTTTCCATCAGACAGGACCAGTGGATATACCCACATTCTTTAGAGCTGCATTGGAGAATAAGTTGCCAGTAATTGAAAAATACCTGTCAGACAAAGGGGATCCAAATGTCTGTGATGAGGTACAATCTTCCTTCTTACTGCAAAGCCTGCTACAGAAGAGAGGTTATTACAGAGCAAAAGTAACTTTTACCACTAGGTTTTGTAGCTTCCACACTTTTGAGGAGAAAAAAGGGTGGAGGGAAGTAAGTAAACGCTGGAAGTTTGGTATATTGAGTTTTCTAGTGATCATGGGGCCATTCGGATCCTTCAAAGTAATATTACCTCAAAAGAATCTTTATATTTAAAAGAAAGTTGTTGGTGCCCAGGAAACCCTGATTTTCTGTAGCAGGTGGTCTTCCAATTCTACAGATGAACAGGCAAGAAATTTGTCTGCAGAACAACAAAGAAAGTGATGCTGCCTGCCCTCCTACTCCATAATGCATAAGCTGCATTTGCAAAATGCAGCGTAGCATGTTGGATGGGGGAACTCAACAGGCATCATTTTAAATTTGAATGCCATGCTGCAGATATTTCTCACACCCTTTAAAATGCTGGGTAGGCAGCTCTCAGCTATCAGGATGCTATTAAAATTTAGCAGATTTCAGGTCTCAAAAGTATTAGCTCTTGAAAATGAATCAGCATGAAGTATGTATTTGCCATCATCCTAGGAAGGCGGGGAGAAAAGATTTAAAGATATCTCTTTGTGCTATATTTAATATCTGACTTTGCACTGTTTTAATTGCCAGTACAAACGCACCGCACTGCACAGGGCATGCTCTGAAGGACATCTAGAAGTGGTGAAAAAGTTGGTGGAAGCTGGAGCCCGGCTTGAACAGAAAGACATGGTATGCACATCGACTCACACTTCTTTCAAAAAACTGCTCTTTGTTTTATAAGTGCCAAGAGAAGCACATACAGAAGCGCTTCTCATAAGAGAGGAGCATTAAAAGGCCTTACAGCATCTTGTAAGTTTATCCTTAAAATAGCACTGTTGAGAAGAGGTTTCAGGAGGGGGTGTCTGCCTGCCTTTGCCAAAGTGGTTGCTGAAAACACAGGAAGCGGAGGAACACGTTGGCCAGTAGACTGCCACAAACAACAGAGCCTAACGTAGGGCAAGAGAGCTGAGGTCAGGCTACCACTTCAGCCTGCTAGCAGGTGGTGGAGATACCACTGTCCCACGCACGTTTCCAGGGCTCAGGGCAACGCGTTCGTTCTCCACCGGGATTTCAAGGCTGCGCTCGGGAGAGACCCCAGTATCCTCTGGAACGCTGGCCGCGAGGGTAGCTGAGCATCGATAGCTTCTGCAGCTGTTTTTTTTTTTTTCACTTCTCCTCTCCCAGCTCTTTGTCCCTTTGCTAAACAGTTGGAACCAGCCAGCCTTGCTCCCCCTCGCTTAACTCAGCAGTGCTCGTGGAGAGTGTAAGAAACAGGAGGAACAACAGGCAGAGCAAGACCTTCAAGGGACATTCCACCCCTCCTGGTGGAGCTGAATGCAGAGAAACTGAATCCTTTAGGGGAGAAGGATTCTAATTCACTTTGTGGCTCTGCATAAGTTTGGGTCTTTTTTAAAGAGAGAACTATTCTTTCCCTTGAGCTTCATTTTCTATGCATTTTAGAACCCAAAAGGCATTGAATGAAAAATACTAACTAGCACATACCAGCCAGAAAAATCATACCTGTCTGTCTAAAGATGACTTCTAAGTTCACAGAATGGACAAAACACATCCTCTCTCACAGCAGCATTGCCAAGATCTCTGTCTTTAAGAGCAATATGCAGCAAGTGTGAAGAGTGAGAAACTTGCACTACTAAAGAAATTAGGGCAAAATAAGAAAAACTGTTACTAGGAACAACTCAGTGATCATGATGGAGTGCTTTAGGTTAAATTGCATGAAAATGATTTTGGATTAATTTAGAAATTTGATCAAAATGGTTTAAATTTTTAAAATATAATGATGAATTAAATTACTTTCCATTTGTTTTTCCTGCTGCAGCTTGAATCTACAGCCCTGCACTGGGCGTGCCGGGGGGGGAACCTGGATGTTCTGAAATTCTTACTGGACAAAGGGATAAACAGAAATGCAAGAGACAAGGTACGTGCTTCTGCGACTCCACAGCTTTTTAAACTAGAGATGAAAAGCTGACCCTTACTCCAAGTAGATAATTTTTGGCGGCCGTTCTTGAAGCGGTCTTTACCTGTTCCATGCCACTGACTGCTTCCTCCTCCCACCTCTCAGCTGCTCAGCACCCCTTTGCACGTGGCTGTGAGAACAGGTCAGTATGACTGCGGGGAGCACCTCATCGCCTGCGAAGCAGATCTCAACGCCAGAGACAGAGTAAGTACCAACAGCTTCTCACCTGCCAGCTATCAGGTTAACATCACGCTGCTGTCTGCCTCGATAGTTCCACTTGCCTGCAAAAATCCCCGGCTACGCAGCTGGGGCTGGACCGCAGCATTGGACCGGCGGGAGCGACGCCGTGGGCCCTGCCCCCTGCCTCCAGGGAAGGCGCAAAAAAAAACCGCTACAAAATGATCAGGCTTCTGATTCTGTATGGAGCGGATCTAACTATAAAGAACTGCGTAAGTAATAGCAAAAAAATGCAGTAATTCAAAATGCCTTAGAATAAGTTTCCCTTCAGAGCAGCTTCATAGGTTTCAAGGCCAGGAGAGACTATTGTGAACAGGCTTAATTAGATCACTTCAGAGTTAATTAAAGCAAAGCTGACACAGGGAAGGTATAACTGGTCAGGGAGAAGAGGAAAAACCAGTACCTCTCTAAAACCAGAACTTAAAACAACATCACATCTTTCTGTGATGTATTTTAATTAGACACATCATATATTGAAATGATGTAATGTACAGACACTCTCCGCACAACTCCTGGGCTTCAACCACCACTGAGACAGACAACAAAGATCTTAGCTAGTGAGAGAAATCACCTTTCTGTTAAGCCCACAGCCGATGGCGAGACTAAGCACTACATCTGGATGACTGGCTGTTAACCTGACCACGGGGCAACAAATCCCCGTGGCTCAGCAAAGCTTCAATTTAAGAAGCCCCACACCTGACTCTGCTCATAGCCACCACAGCAGGTGCGTTGCCAGAGCTCTGTGACCACTTGTTAAAACACAGCACATCACAGCCCCCTTTCCCCCAAACCGAGCAGCGGTGGGATGGACAGTGAGTTTTACCAATGCCAGTCAATGTTTTTGATTGACAATCAATCAAAACTTAAGAGGGCAAGGAAGAAACCAGTCACTGCAGCACTTGGCACTCCCTACTCTCTGCCCACGCTCTCCGAAGCAGGGCTGCTCCTGGCATTATCCCTCATCAGGGTATGAGAACGATGAAAGGTACAGCCCCAAAGACTTGCTCTCTCAGGCTTTGTCTGCACACAAAAGTTGCTCCTGTTTAATTTAGATGTGGTTCATAACCTAATTAAACCAGTGCAAACTCTTACCTGAATCCTCCATTAAATAGACAAGTGGCTTATTGAGGTTTCATCTAAATGTATTTCTAATCAGTTTAAACTAGATCAAAAGAAACACCTGCATGCTCTGCTAGTCACGGTATTTGCTACTACAGCTTAGACCCACTGAAACACGGGGAGATTTCACCATGAGTCTGAACAGGGCTGGGACTAGATCTGTGGAGCGAAAGGACTCAGGTCTCGGGGAGGCGAGACTTAGTCTGACCTTGTGTGCGCAGAAGGGTCTCGCATCAGGCAGACACGCTGCACAAATAAATATTTAAGGAAGAATGAAGAACTCGGTAGTCACTGGCTGAAATTAAATCTTGCTTCCTCTGCTTTTTTAACCAGCAAGGGAAAACCCCTATGGATCTTGTTCTTCAGTGGCAGAACGGCACCAAAGAGATATTCAACAGCCTGAAAGACAACTCCTATAAGAGCGTCCATCTAGGCAAGTTCTGAAGAGGGAAACCAGACCGCTCTCTTTTTGCTGCTTTTAAATGCTTCATATGAACCTGGAGGAAAATAGCCCTGAACATAGTATGTTCATTGAAAATATTTATGGTACTGGATTATTTGAGGTACCTTCACTGAAAACTGCAAAACAAACACGCAAAGAAATTATTTTAAAAGGCAGGTTGAGTGTTGAAATTCCACTGGTTCTAAAACGGCTTTATTTATTACTATTTATTATTTATTTAAAAAGTAATTTTTAATGATTCTCAATATTCTTGTAGCTTTTTTTTAAATAGAGCTTTACATCCCAATACAATCTTTGCTAGCAACATAAATCCTTTTGTCTTAGATGGCAGTATTTCCAACTACTTTAGCAACTTCCCTCAAGCCTTCCACTAGCTCTAAATAGCGAATACTTGCAACTGTTCCCTTGTCTCTGCCGAATTCTCACTATTAAAATAGTATGTTAAACGAGTGGTGATATGTGGAAGAGCAATGGAAGGAGGTGTACTGAGGTGCCAAGTGGATTTAAAGAAGCAGTTGAGTAACGGGGTTTACACAAGGTTTAGCAATCGTGGTCGATAAAGAGCTCAAGGACAGAGCTCCGACCATCACGTAACTGTTTGGGCTGCGGGACTCGGATGCAATGTTATGAAGGCGAGAGGAGACAGTATCAGGAATGTGAATTTTTTTAAGCTAGACTACTGTGAATTCTGATGATTGAAGAATGCAAAACCAGATTATGTATATTTGTAAATTTGTACTGCTTTTTCTGTACATTTTGTACTGATCTATTTCAGATTAAATAAACAGAGTGGTTCTTTTTATTTGCTGGGGTGGATTATGGAGCGGTGAGCATGCATAGGGTATTTCTGTCTCTCTTTAAAGAAAGTTCACATCTTGGCCTCTGTAAAATCCTTAAAAATGGAAAAAAAAAGTCTCAGCTGCCCAGAGCAGCTAGCCCTTGAGCTACCTCCCTGCGACTGTTAGATAAATGCCATCTCTACTTATTTTGTTAAATGGAAACACATATACAAAAGCAGAAAGACAGTACTTGAGCAGCTAGTAAAACAAAGTTACTGTTTTATTACCGAGTTTGATTTAAAAATCTCAGTTTCTCAGCAAGTCAGTACTTACTATGTGGTGCACAAGACAGCTTCAGTTGTCCAAGCCAAGGAAAACAAGAGTCCTGCTAGGAAAGGCAGGCACCTCTCCCTTTGCTTTAGCAGGAGCAGAACAATCTTACCAGTACCGCCAGCAGGGGCATCAATGTCTGGTTTCACTGGGACATCACATGTTGCATTCAGTTAAAATACTAACGCCCCACGCGTGGCCTCCCAGCGAAATACGCCACAGGCTCCCACACACCTTCACCAACCCGCATCAGCTGCCTTCTAGAGCCAGCAGGCTTTACAGTCTGGCCAAAACAGTGTCCTGCGCAATGAGGTGGGGTCAGGAGTGGGCAGCAATGAATAGTTGTTACTGGAGTGCCAATTTTGGAGACCAAGTGATTTACAGAAACCCCCCAGAGGAGCGAGCAGAAGGAACGCCTATTCTGTCTGCAGCCAGCTATCCTAGACTGAGGCCAACAGCTTCAGACAGATGAGACTTTTCTCACACAAGCACCATAACTCACAAGTGTCACCTTGCCGGCCATAGGCTTTATTTGTGAACACACTCTTCTCCATAAAAATTAGGGCACACCTCTGCTCACTGCCCTTCCCTGTGAGCCACTACCTCGCTACTTGTTTCTGCACAATTACCTGGACACTGGAGCATGCCTTGCAGGAAATAGAAATTACATCAGTGCTAGCTAACTCCGTTTGTTTATCATCCTAACCGAGAAGCAGTTCAACTGTTCAGGCACCAAAGTGGCCAGAACAACATGCTTCAGGAAACTGGGGGAGAAGGAACTTTTCAATCAGTTCCTGAAGCACTGTATCTACTGAAGGGGCAAAGATGCAGACTGCAAATTTTTTAAATCGAGTCAAACAAGTAGCAAGAAGGATCTCTAGCATTCAAAAGCCTCTTTCCATATGCTAGTTACCAAACAACTTCTCTCATGCTCAAGGTAGGTTATTCTCTGGCCAAGGTAAGATAACGTGTCATTCAGGAAATTGCACCAGACAAACACGTTTCCGCTTCTTCTCTGGTTAAAGCATCATTTTGGAGGCAAGTCCATAAATTATAAACTACTGCATATATATGTATTGCATCCCAATACCTGTGAAAGACTCAAATCACAAAGTCAACAAGTAAAATAATAACATAAAGGAAAAATATTTCATTATTTGTTGAATAAAGCAAAAGCTGCTGTGACTTACACCAGCATTATATAGAACTGTTAGTCTACTGAGAACTTCACCCATTCTGCTCAGTCCAGTTACTAAGAGCTCAGAGATGACTCACTGCAAGATTTCTGCAATATTTTACATGCTATAACTTCCGCTTCTCAACTTGTTGTCAGATGCAAATAGAGAATTGGAATATTTACAGTAAAGCTGGCTCAAGAGTATCTTGAGTACAGTAGCTTACATAATTTTTATATTGGTTTAATCAAAAGAAAAACTTCAGTCAACATTTGGAAGAGTTCTGAAAATACTCTGCTGATTTTAAGTCTGTTATGATTGCTTTTTTGGCAGCCAGGTTTACTGAGGCATTAACAGGAAGGAAAACAGAAAGGCAGGAGGCAGCAAAATGAACACTCTCACAGGCAACACTGCCAGACGAGGACATAAAGAAGGAAATGATGCAGTAAAAATGATGTGACGTGGAGACTGCTCAGGCCGAGGCGAGACAGCTGTTACGCTGCGACTGCAACATACCACGCTGAGCACACATTCAGTGTAACCTTGGGCTCTTCCTTCCCATCTGTGGTAACCACCTCAGGTTACTGTTTGGTTTTAAGAGCTGCAGGACAGGGATGGCCTTTGGGATGTGCGTCTAGCAGGTTAGGTCAGTCAGTCCTACTGTTACACAAATCCAAGACATCTCCTAGCAAGTGACAGATGCTGGGATCTTCTTTATAGTCATTGATCACAAAACAGAATGGGAAGGAGATTTTTTTTTTTACTGCACCATTACTCTTCACAGGCCACTGGAGGTAAACTTCATCTACCGGCTTGCGGTTGTAAGGTTTAGTACAGAGATGTGTTTAAAACTTGAGAAACCGTAAGAGCTAGACTTTGCATTCTTAGTAACATTTTTTATTAAAAAGGAATGCACTTGTACAACTGAAAATTTCTGTATGTTAGAAACGTTGTGTGAGTTTGCACTAACTCCAGAAGACCTAAGACAGAGTGTAGAGATGGTCTCCTGACCTTGGCCAGAAGCCCAGCATGATCTTTCAGATGTGGTGAACTGCCATTCAGCAGACTCATTCCCACAGCTTTCCTCACTTGAACACCAGAAGAATAATTCTTCTCCAGGCTAAATAAAGCAGTAAGGGAGGAACTGGGCTGGCTGGAGCATGGGGGAAGATTCAACACTTTAGTAAAGATGGGATGGAGGCTCCTGTTGACAATTGGTTCAGTCCTCAAGCTTCAGTCTTAGCTTTTTTGCAGGCTGGCAGTGTTGTTTCTTCCTCCTCAACCTTGCGAGGCTTCTTCACTGTGTACACTACCCCACAGGCACTCTTCCGAGTTTCTGGAACATACAAGCAGAAGTTGTAGTACCTCAAATAAAATGACACTAATGCATTTAACGCATACTCATTGCAGGTGTTCATGCCCCAAAACTCAGTTCAGCATGTTTGCCAGCCAGTCAGCACACACAGCAGGTAAGCAACCTCCATGGGCAGGAGCTGGGGATACGCTGCCTTATGGAGTGGAAACTAAAGGGGGAAATCCTATGGTGGGTGTAGAATTACAGCAAACATAAGGGAAAACTGGGTTTCTGCAGGGGTTGAGGGGCTGCAGACACACAAAACCATAGGAAACCAGGCTTAATCAGTTCAACAGTCACAGAAGCACACGTTCTTGAAGCATTGTCAAAAGCATTTCTGAGCAAAACATACTGTTCTTAAATAAATATATAAAAAATGTATTCACATACCCCGGGATTCTTAAACAGACTATGCTGGCACAGCTATATTGGCAGAGGCTCCCCTATACATACCAAGTAAGTGGCTTTATGGTATTCAAGAATATTTTATTTACAGAACCCTCAGCATTACCACAAAGTACTACCGTGTGGTGTTATCAAACTCCTCATATGTCTGCCAAGCAACCTAGTGAGCCCAATCCAATTTCAGAACTACTGGTCTCTACAAAATTTGAGGTAGAAGAGATTCTCTACAAATACTGTGTTAGCAAAGAGGCTCTGCAAGAACCTTGCCAAAATATACTGACTTATTCTGGGCCAGCATTCTTTGGGGGACAGGGAAATGACATCTGCTATTTAATTTCACAGATAAGATAGATGATGGTCTTGAGAAATCCCACATAAACTTGACAAAAATTCTTCCAACACACTGTCTTCATGTAGATGAGTAGCAGGCTGGAGGAGGACCCTGTTCACAGAAATGCCCTCTCCAAGAGATCAAAGCTACCTGCTGTGAATTACAGCAGGTCCAAGCCCCATCTTTACTGAAACAAGAGGTACAAACCAAATCCTACTGCGTGTTTGAAACTTGGAACAACTCAAGTTGTTGGGAAGGTGACTAGAAATCATACCTACCCAACAAACTTTGACAGAGGCAGAAATTAAGAGCTAGATGCAACTACTCAGTCACAAAGTTAAACTGCCATCAGAATAAACAACAACAACAAAAAAAATCAAGAAACACTAAGAACCAATAAATAAGCACGTGAAAGGGAGGGTAGAGATGGAGAAATTGATGCTACAGTGGAACGCAAGGTTCTAAACTGATTGCTGGAACACGAACTGTGGCATCTCTTTGCTGCACTGACACCAGGACACAAAATACCATGGGAAACCTTTTGATATCCAGTGCAGGGGGCCACAAGCTAAATTTCCACTTTCTTAATATTAAAAATGGGCAAGTAGAAGAGAGCTGCTGTGAGCTGCCTGTGCTGAGAGCATAAGGAAGCAAGTTTTGTTTCACCAAAACACTTCAAGCCATCGTACACTATATGAAACATTTTTTTCTAAGCAGCAAGCACTCAGGGTATTTGATTTTGCATCAAGTTTGAAACAGTCCACAATGAACAGCGAGTCAGAACTAGACCACGTAATGAAGCATCAGAAAGGGACATGGCAAAGGTTGCTTCTGCACTCATGCTGCAAGACAGGAAACGCAAAAACACATGCATCCCGATTTTCTTCAAGTCAATGATGTAGTTTCTGCTGGTGTCACCGAGATCAGCATTCAACCCGTTCTGAAACAAGGGACAGTTTCACTACGAAGCACAACAGGCACATCTGTGTTTTGGCTAAACAGTTTACGACTCGTTAATGTGGTTAAGCGAGTACTCCAGTACAGACAGCACCATCAATTCAGCCACTGATTTGCTAACATGGCAACAAGGGAAAATAAACCACCCTTGCCACACAAGCTCCTCTTCATGCATTGGACAATGGAGCTAAAAACCCGAGCTGACTTACTCTATAATGTCTCAGACCTTTTGGAAAATATGCATTAACGTGAACTTAGTTGAACAAATGCAAGTGTTAGATGAGTTTGCATGCGCTTTTCACTTACCTCCATGAAGCACGGTCGCTCTGCAGTTGGTAGACACGGCTGCCTTGGCTTCACTTTCTGACAGGCCAAACAGCAAACCTCTGTCACCTTTGTTCAGGATCAAAATGCACAGAAAGGAAAAAACAGCATAGGGAAGTCTGTCTGCATGATAGGTTTGTTTACTCTACAAATAACTGGGAATTAGCAGAGCTGTAACTCAAAGTGATGTTTTGCATAAGGTTACCCAGAGGCAGGGAACTGAGGTACCCAATTCTCCTGGCTGCAGTTCCCCACCGGCCCTCCTGGAAAGCTCCTGGCAATACTGCTTTTTTCCAGACAAGAAGCTGTACTTTTGAAAATAAAAGTCTATCAACAGAGGAACATTTTTACATGCATAATCAAGTAAAAAAATGACCCCATGGAAAATTTCAGTTTTTGGGAAAGGGCATTGTCTGATACAAAAGCATTATGCTGAAGAGTTCCCAGCCACCTTGAGCAGGGATGACACCAGATTAGATATGTTAATTTGGGTTGAGCCTGACTGCTCTTTTTAAGAGGGAAGGAAACGTTGCACATAAAATCGTTCCAGGCCACACACCCTCCCACATGGTTCTCATGACTCAGAGCACGCTCCTCCCCTTCAAGGGATATGTGCTTGGGGGCGGGGAGGGGGGAGTAGTAAAAATGCATCTGAATTCCTAAAAGAAGGGAAGAAGAGACACTTTCCTTGGTTTCTAGAACACAAACACTTATTTAACAGCACATATATAACTAAAAACTGGAAAATTCAGAACAGAAGTAACCAGCACTCAGATAGGAACTTTTTCTTTCTTAATATAAATATGATTTTATAGCTTCTTCTATCAAAGATGTGGCACCTTGGAGATCATAAGTAATAATTTCTGGTTTGGTTCACAGCGTTCATAGATTTTTATGGGTTTTATTCATTTCTCCACTTACACCCACACAGTATCAATGCATATCACAACAAAAACATACCTGTAGCTGAACACAGACATTACTATTTACAGTGACTGCTTGTGCTACCCCATGACCAAAATCTGTTGCTCCTTTCACACCCACTCAGAGCTCTGATTCATTGAACTGGTCACCAACAAGCACCAATGTGTAAAGTTCAAGGAGCGTAAAGGATGGAGTTATTTCAAAACCACTTTGAACTTTCACATGTTACTATTAACTGCTGTCTTTGACTTAGAAAAAGGATACAGATTAGCCACGTCGTAAGGACCTCGTAGTTCTAGAGGCTAAAACAAAACAAAGATTAGACATCTCGCAGGCTGACAGAGTGTAAGCAGGCAGGACAGGGCTATCAGGAAGGCAGGATTAAATGCTACATAATAGCAAGCTGCTGAAAATGCACTAGGAAATCAAGCAAATACTATTATTTTGGAAAACAGAGTCCCCATCTGGGAGAAAACTGTCATGGAACATACCACAGCAGCAAAAAAGCCCACACCCAACCAAACAAAAAAACCCCTCCAAACCTCACAATACAATTCTTTGGTAAAACAGATTGATTAAAAAAACCCACAAGATGGCAATCATATTTAAAAATTACGATTTTTAAATATCATAATAAAAATCACAATTTTTATATGTTTAATACATAATTAAAGCTGTTATTTTCAGCCACAGATAAATCCTCAAATTGTTCCGACTTCAACAAAAATCTGGGACTTACCCTTTCAGCTGCACTAGATATAACAATGTTCTGGAAAACAAAAGAGAACAAACGTTCATCTGTCAGACAGCATCAAGAAAAGAAAAAAAAAAATCAGCAAGCAGTAAAGACTTTATGAGCATTAGCTAAGTTCAGGCTCAGAGCCCAATTAACCATCCAAGTATCTGATGCCCTCAGATGAAGTGAACTCCAGCAGAGTATGGATATTAATTTGGGACATAAATAAACCCAGGTTATCTCCCTGACCCCTACAGAGACAGGGGCACAGGAGCAAGCCCTCCTTTGCAGTTACAAACCTCTCACAGACAGATGCGAGCTAAGTGCCGCACCTTTTAGAGGGATAGGCTAAGCAGTATAAATGTCAGAGTGATGGCATTAAGCAAGCACCTATCAGCCTGTATCTCTCATAGTGGACTTTAAAGAGACCTTCAGGGTAAAGAAGAAATGCAGAGTTGCACACACTGTGTTAAGGAGTGCCCTCTTTATTTACACTAGCTGAAAGAGGCCCCACAAAAACGACAACTCGGCCTGAGCTGTAACAGAAATGGACTTAAGAGTCCAGGATCCCCCAGAAGCAGTTTACAGATAGTGCTTTTACACAGTCTGGTGCTCCCAAATTTTCAGCCTACTGTTGTGGTACAACTCAACCCTAACCTCAGCATTCACACCGGCCTTAAGCAAACTCACACTGGTTGGGGAAACCTGTCTGCAGCTAAGCAGTGGCTGCCAATTCATGCCATACACTCACTTCCCTCAACGCTGGCACCCCCATGAAAATCACCAGGCAGAGAGATATCCTTCTCCCTTCTCCTCCAAAGGGTTTCTACAGAACAGGTACGTGACTGCTTGGGGGCTGGCAGATACCACAGCTCAGCTGCCAGCGCTCTTCTGATGTTAAGCCTCCAAGGATGCTCACCCAGGGGAAGATTGTTTTGCACAGGTGGAAACCGCAGCAGCAGCAAAAAATTCCTTGCACCTTTTATTATAATGAATAAAAGGCTTTGGGAATTCCTGCTTGAGTGGGTGGGAATAAGAATTGTACTGAGGCAGCGGAAGACTTTCCCTCTCTGACGTCAGTACCACCAACACATCACACCACCTCCAGTTACAAGGTGGGGCTTTTGATCCCTTCCCTGCACTGCTTGCTTTGTCCTGCCACCTCCCCAGCACAAAGAGCAGGGCAGACATCGGAAGAAAATGCTCTGTGCGCAGCTGGAACTCAACCCATGAAGAACTATTTGCATGGAAATGACCGCATGTTCACACTGTGCCCAAGGTTTCCTCGTGTGCTGAGGAGGAAAGGATGGAACAGACAACTCTGCCTTAGCGTAAGGAAAGCCAGAAGTGGAAGCAATACAAACATCAGAGTGACTTAACAGCACACATCATGATGGAGCCTAGGACATTTCTTACTGCATAGTTCACCTTTACAATGACTGCACTATGGATCTCAAGGGTGCTTTTGAGCTTCAGTGGTGCTGATGGCCAGAGTTTGCTGGGGAAATTCAAGTCTTCTGCTCTGAGCTGTAGCAACCAACAGGTTGGTTGTCTCCCAGGCTCAGAGAAGCTTCCAGAGCAGCTGCACAAGCCATCTTGAACCAGCATGGGATTGTGGTTCACTGCTGTGCACTGGAGATGCACTCCGCCTGGTTCAAAAGCAACTGGCTTCCAGTTAGGGGATGGGTAAGACAGGAGAAGGAGACAAAAGCAGACAAGAAAAGCACTGCTAGCGAGTGAAGGAGAGGCAGGCAAAGGCAAATCCAAGGGAAGGGCTAAAGGGAAGAACTCAAAGGCAAAACGTTATCTCCCCAGGTAAAGGAGACAGCAGTTGTTCAGTATACTGCTCCAGGCACAGTACCCACACTCAGTTACCAAAACACAGGAGGTGAGGGACTGTGGCTATGCACACCTTCTGTCTGGCAAGGCAGGTGAGTCCCTCCCTCATTCCCTGCACATTTTAACATGTTTTAAGGACTCCGCTCAACACCAGCTCTGAAGATACGAGTAAATTTCTGGAAGTTTCCCTGCCCTACTACAACACAAGAGGAACAAAAGGATCCAAAAGCTGCTACCAGTTCAGCAACTATAGGTTACAGAAGGCCAGAGCTGCGTGCCAGGTGCCAAGGCAAGCAGCCTATGGACCAGCCATCCCATGTATTGTTAAAAAAAGGCCTTTACATAACCGTTATGGAGACAGCCCTCACTGCCAGTGAGGGCTAATAACCATCTCTGCTGGCCCACCAGGTACTGAGCCTGGAGGCAAAAAATACAGGGGAAAAAAAAAAAAAGACAAGCTAGCATTCCTCTCCCAGCTCTTCCAGTGCCTAACAGCAGTTCGTTGTGCCCAGCTCCCGCTGATTTAGCTTCCAGGCACAGATGATGCACTAGCCTGACTGAAAGAAAGGGCACTGTGCACAGACCCAGCGCCTGAACATCTCACTTGCTCTGTTTGTGATGTCAACTCAACTGATGTTCTCCAAATCAACAACTGCATGAGAAGCACATCTTTAACTGCACAGAGGGAAAAGGAGCACTGGCAAAAAGGAATCCCAAAGGAAAGGGGGTTTGTGCGTACGTACCTCATCTCCAAGTCAGTATTTTGTGCAATTAACTCCCAGAGCTGGGCTTCTCAGGAAAGGCCATGCAAATACTCACTTTCTTCTGTAGCACTAAGGGAATTCATCTGTTTGACCCACTCTGCTCTCCTATAAAATAGGCTGCCATGCCTGAGGGGAACTGAGGTAACGACAGATCTGCTTTTAATTGGCCTTCCAAGCTGTATATCCCACTTCAGACTAGATCTGCAGGGTAATGCCAATTTTGGTTTCTCTGGACTAGCTAATTGCAGCAAAGGCTGTTTCCAATAAAGGTGGTGGGAGCTACAATCTCTTTTAACTTGGATGTGTATTATTATATGCTTCCCTGTTAAAAAAAAAAAACATGGCCTGAGAGGACCCAGCATGACAGGCAGCCTAGCCTGGTCGCCTGGGAGGAGGTAAGGTATGAAAGCAATGGATTACAGCCATCTCAGCTGCAAGTGTTACTTCTTCCTTGGGTTTCAGCAGCAGGGAAGAATGCAGTTGATCTGAGTGCAGCAAAGCCCTGGCTGATAGCCAGCTAGCTGGTGGGTCTGTTTTGTACACTGGGAATTTACTAACCGTTTAAACAAGATTTCTACTTTTTTCTTATTATTTTCTACTCCCATATTCAAGGTATACTATCAAAAAAGAGCTTTTGGTCAATCAGAAATACGAAATGGGGGATTTTGGAGAGATGCATAGATTTCAGTTCTAGTGCAAACCTTAGATCTCTGGCACTTTTTATTTTCCTTTTGTTTTGGGTATTGCATACAATAATAACAGATAGATTATTTTTTCAGAACAACCTAACTGTTTGACAACTTAAGAAGAAAGCATGCAGTGGTGCATGGCTGGAAGTATCTGGAGCTAGAATAATTGTGTCCTTGTATTAGTAGGCAAAGATTCAGTCACAGCTTCAGAAACCCCAGCATCAAACTAATTTAAAATGGCTCAGTCTGTACAACTCCAGAAGAATTTGAACTGAATTAATTAGCTTGCTTTCACTTTGAGAGCTTACCTTTCCTTTGCAGATCTGCATCAGACTGATCGCATTTGAAATTGTGTATCTTCTCATTGTGGAGTCTTTGATGGCAGGCGTGTAAAGAAGTTCAAAGTAAATGCCTCGATCTATTGCCTTCACATGAAAGAGAGTGATCAAAAATCAAAAGGAGAGAAGCATAACAATCTAACAACTGCTGTCTATTATTGATGCAGGTTATTCTCAGTTTAACTGTGTTATATATGAAAAAATTAAGGCAGAAATGTTCCAGCAAGAGCACAGCATAGCACTGGGGAGGGGGCGGGGGGGGAACGTTTCACTGTACAGCAGGTATGTGTACTTGAATCTTGGGATGACAGATAAATGAGGTTTAACAAACAAAGAAAAACCAGCCACTTATTAGCTGCAATTGGCTTTCCTCTATCACAGAGTTGAGGAGACAGGTAACCACTGCTGGTCACACACAAGTCTTGAAGTTTTGAGGATCCTCCTCCTCTAGCCCCACAGCCCGTTGTAAGGAAGACCGCTGCTTCCCACAGTACCCACATCTTGCAGATGAGGAATTTGTCCTTCCATAAAAGCAGCAATGAGGTCCCTTCTCTCCCGTCTCACAGCATACTCTGGTATTTGTGACAATGTTAAATAACAGTGAGTCACAGGAGAGGTTCCAAATAGTAATACTCAATATATTTTCAGCTGCTTTAAAATCCCTCGCTAACTCTCAGAGTACCTCACCAAAAGCCTAGTATTCTTGTTTTTGCAAACACACAGAGAAAAGTTAAGCAACTTGCTATAGGACACAGTGAGTTAGTGATAAAGACACAACTCAAAGCTAGGAGTTCCTAGTTCCCTGGCCTATATGACATTTGCCTGAAATGTTACCCTCTGTTTTATACTAATACTATTTTTAAAAATGCTGCAGTATTAATACTGTAAGAGAGTCCAGTAACTGAGTACAGATGGAATTAATCCAGCTCCCATCCATGCACGACCTCTGAATGCGAGCACAACAGAAGCTATGTACACATGAAATGTTTTACACAGAGCTCGTCTGACATCTGCAAACAAGAAGAAAAGCCTGAATTTATCAAAACCAAAATAGGTGATGGCAATATACCAATTTCCAGCCAAGCAGATTTTTAACCTCATCCCCACCACTTCAGCTGCCTGCCAATCTGTCTGTCTGGCATCACAACAACCAAAACTGGCTGCCTGAGGATGCACAAAACCAGTCTGACTGACAGACTGCCTCGAAGCTGGGAATGGAAGCTGAGAAATAGCTTGTAAGGAAAATGTCTCCAAACACAGGGCTCTAAGAGCCACCCAGCTCCTCACCTGGGTCAGCTGCTGGAGTTTTAGGCAGCGAGGGTACTTTCAAACAACGTTTTATACAAAATTGTTATTCCAAATGGAATGTTGAAATTCCCAGTCTGTAGTAAATTCCAAAGTATTACTTTTGTTCTGTTTCAGGATTAGTTCTAGTTAATTTTTTTTTTATTCTAGGTCAAACTTTCTGCAGAAGAGGAATTAGGATTTCTAGCCAATTCCAAATTTAAATTTTTAAGCAGTAAGGACTATACCAGCCAAGAACGCCCATGTGGAATGAACCTTGACATATACTCACAGGAGAAAACTAGTTCATCTAAGAGCATGTTCAGATTAAGCTTTCTGGCAAGCCATCAACAGCAGGCAGAATTGTATTAACAAAATACTTGATCCATGCTGATAGCCATCTCTTGTCCCACAGCAGATATTTAGCAATTCCACATTTGGTTCATTTGCCAAGACATTCCTTTGTCTAAGCACGGATTCAATACAGTTGTCCTCCAAATAACTGGCATGACATCCTTCGCCCAAATTAACACTGTCATTCACATTTTCCTGTCTTTTAAATCACAGGGTTGTTTATCTATTCTGACACAGCTGTACCACTTCTGGCTTGGGAGGCAGCTTAGTCAGCAATCACACCACATCTCACTCCTTCGCATAGCAGTGGCCTTAAGGCTCTGTTTCCACTCCTTAGGAACACCACTTCGGCCTTCTTAAGTGGTGGACAGGAAGGAGAAAGAGAAAGAACATACATCACTACGAATTAAATGCTGCGGTGGAGGCCTTGAAGCGAAGGACATCTGAAACAACACTATACATTATGCAAGAAAATAAAAGAACCACTTGGATGGGAATGGTGGGAAGGAAATGGTAGGGAATTCAACTCAGACTGACATTAAATACAGAATTTAACAGCAAGAAAACAATTTACATGTAAATTTACCATATTCACAGGGGGCCTTCGGAAGTAGAATGGCAGCTTTTCTGTCACATTTATGCATACCAGATCCACATCTAGAGTTGTGCAAGCAATCTACAGCAAAGAAATAGGAACAGATTATTAGATAAGCCAAAAAATGCGCTGAAATTCTCCTTCATTCCTTAATGCAAGAAATGTCTCTCCAGGATGAGTTCAGTTTTAAAATGAAGAGGTACCAAGCCTTGCAGGTGTGCCAATAAAACAGCAGGGCTACAGGTACACAGCATGAGCATTTCAGGCTTAAAACCCAAGCCTTCCCTCACTTACAGAGCTACTTTTCCAATAAAATAATGACCAACCCAAAGGCGAGACTTACTGCTTTGTTCTTATCTAACATAGGACATGCAGAAGCAATGCTGGCTTTTGGCAAAAGAACTCACAGCTAATGAAGGACAACCCCTGTTTACAAAGGCAACAGCCCAGGAACTGCCCCTTACCCCACCATGCTCCAATTCCAGTGTAGCAACTGTTTGTTTTACGGATTAAGTATTTTTATCAGAAGCAACCAAAAGACTGAAACAGAAGCAGAATGTTAGGCAGTGACTGGTGGTGCCCCATGCCCAGTACTGGAAGCCGATCTACAGGGCCTCACTTTCCTGGCTGGGTGGGGAACGTGCAGCCCTTCCTGAAAGCCACATCTCTGGAAAAGTCTCAAGATGGCACCGGAGGTCATAGTTTAAAACCTTAGCTTTGAACTCACACCACAATTTACAGCCTGTATTAAAAGAGGGAAGGAACGAACAAAGGGTCGAGAATCTCCACACTGACACACAGAGAAAATTAAATGCACATAAAAGGGAGCCCTAGATTTACATATAATCTCATGCACACAAGACATGTAGGAATTATATATGCCTAGCCCGTAAAGATGATTACACAGGGCCAGATTAACGTCTGTAAGCAGTGTTGTAACAAAGAAGATAAAATGGGCTGAAGATGTTGAAAAGGAATTTTCTACGCATAGGGTAACTGCTTTCAGAAACCTGCCAGCAACTGCTCCAAATACACCTGGGCGAGGCGCCAACCATTCATCCATCCCTCCTCGCACCGGCACAAAAGCGGTGGGGGTTGCGGGGAGTCCCAGGGCTCGGCTGCGGGGTAGCCGCACTCTGCTGTAACGCAGGGCAGGCTATTGCTTTGCAAACTAGTCTTCTACCAGTTTGTTCACAGGAAATGTGGATGGAGATGAGAGCAGAGGCCCAGCTTTAGGAATATTTCTTAGCTGTTGACAGCACTCCCTCCTAGACAAGAGAGCCACAGCACACATGCAGGCAATTCAAAGATCTTGGTAGTACAAACTACCATCTAGACAGAGGTGATTTATAGGAACACGCACACAGCAAATAGCTCGGAATCATGTCCTAGAAGACATGTCAGTGAGGCCACAGGAAATTCAGGAAGAGAGAAAGCTGAAAATGAAGGAAAGCAAGAATACACATCAGAAACATGCAAGCTGCCCTATATGATGAGAAAATAAGCCTTCCTAATCAGCTCCAGAAACACTGGAAAACTCTTTTCCATTTTGCAAATTAAGTACAGTGGGAAAAGGGAGTGCCAGGATTGGCAGGATTTCTACAGGATTCCAGTGACAAGAACATTTCAGAAAACACCACCAAGGAAAAACAAATTTAAGAGCCATACTTCCCCATAAGGAGGAATTCCTGCACTGCACGGGAAGTTGGTGAGATTTCTCAAAAGAGGAGATTCCTCCAAACACTCCAATGTTCAGCCTAGCTTTGGGTCCTGGACAAGTCACACATGCAGGCAAGTTAAGATTACCCTGCCTACTGAATGGATCTGAAGTGCAAAAACTTCATACAGAAAGTGATATGCAGCACTGCATTTCTGTATGCATTCTGCATACAGAAAATGACACACAGCCGGGTGCTTGCCCAGCCGCATCGCAGGAAAGAGCCCCATCTGCTGGGAAACTCCAGACAGCCATAAATAAATAAATTTGCCACTACTTGGATGGCCTAAAGAAAGCTTTGGCAAACATTTTAGGAATAGACATTGAAATTTGGCTTTGCACTATATCTTCAGACTTATATAAGCAAGTTTTTTTAGATACTGGTGATCTGCTAATTGCTTACAAACAGCAGGCAGAACTAACTAGAATGATTAAACCAGTCAGAATTCTTAAAAAGCAAAGTTTTTGAAAAGCAACAGGCACAGACCTTATTACTGGCATGGGGTGGGTATTCCTGTTGCAGCCCAAAACAATCCTCTTGGAAGACTTAAAGAAGGAGCATGTTCTACAATTATCTTGGCAAACACAGCTTCCTCATACCCCTGAGGATATAAATCATTTGGAGAATTTGAGCACATCTTTCAGTACATATCACTGCCACACTCAGTCACTGAGAAGCTTCCCCGGCTCGTGACAAGAGGGCACAGACTGGTTTCGGGCCATGCTAAAATTAGAGGACATCTCCAATGGTCATGTATTTCCTTTACAAAAACATAGAAAATCCTGTTCTGTGAAAAATAATCCAAGTGCCAAATTGTTGGTGAGCAAGATGATGCTCTTGAAGTAATGTTGAGTTACCAACAGCCAATTTTAAAACATAATTTGTGGTGCAAGACCCACCCTAGAAGGCTTTATCCTTAACAGTGAAAGATCCAGGAGTCGTTAAGAGCCAGAGATATATGCTGAAACTCCATGCATAACATCACCAGACTCCCTGTTGATACCTCTACAAAATTGACACAGCTCTCCACAGAGAGTTAGAAAACCTAAAAATCTTTAAACAAAAGACAAACATACAAATCTGCCCTGCATGTGAACATGTAAGGATGAAGTCTTTCACCTCATGCAGCTTGCAAGAAACATGCTTGGGTTCCCTCCCCTGCTCAAAGTGCTGCCAGGATGAAGCAATTAAGATGGTCTCATCACAACCCTGCTTCCTTCCTAACACACTCTCCATCACCTGTGAGAGTGTCAGCTTGAACAGGCACTATCTGCACTGGCCTGCCCAGAGCACAGCCAACCTCTTTGTGCTGGCACAACTATCCGTGTGGCTGAAACCTGAATCAGAGCGGTAAAACGGATCTGCCTGCAAAATAACTCGGCAAAAACTCTGGTTATTTTCAGCCAAAAGCGTGTTCCCCAAACCAAACTGCCATGCAACTAAGCAAGCAGCTTCACCAGCAGAGCAGACAGGGACCTGCAGAAACGAGTGGCTGTTCATAGAATCATAGAATCATTTAGGTTGGAAAAGACCTTTAAGATCATCAAGTCCAACCGTTAAACCAGCCTTAAACACTGCCACAGCTGGACATCCAACCGCAGCAGAACTCACGATACAGCTGAAAATAAAAAAAAATAGTCACCCTTAAATGAGAGAGACCCCTTTCCTCCCAAAACAACACAGCATGCCCCTGCTGATTACCTGGCTTCAGGTGCTTGTTTAAACACATGATAAATTGATTGAGCTCACTTGAGAAGTGAGATTTTACATTGTTGCCAGAGTCAAAAGAAAGAGGTGGAGAGTGGCCCTCAAAAGTATTTTACAACTATTCGCCCCTCTTGCATCCCCAAGAGTCCTAAAATCTTGCAAGGGAAATAAAAGCAGTCAGAAATAAGTTTCATTAAGCTGTAACTGTTATAATTAATGCTTGAATTTTTCTGCTGAAAGATTCTTTAAAGTTCACTTTCTTCTACAGCCTCTTGCTTTGTACTTTACTTGGACAAGTTTTCAAGAAGGAGGGGGAATAATTTAGAAAAACAAAATGGAAGAATATCATTTTAATGTGTCAAAACAGGTACTCAGGAGTACTAGAAAGTAGCTCTAACTTACTTAAAAAAAAAAACAAAACAGACTCAGTTTTATACTGACAAGCTCTCTTTGAAAGTAGATTCTGGCACTCCTCCAAAGAGATTCATGTTTGCTTTTGGTGTCCCTGTGCCTTCTTCACACTGCTTTAAACTGCACGCCTGCTTACTGCCTGCCAAGGCTAACAGATACGGGACGCTTCCACCTACTCTTCCAGTTCAGAGTTAATGTTATTATTTATGAGCTTGCAACAGATCAGACGTCACAATTTTGAGTTTTGTAAGAAAAACATTCTGACAAAAAGATGACTTGCTTCCAGATGCTCCACTTGATCAGACCGCTCACATCAGCCATTACCAATTATTTGAGAACAATTTAATTAAAAATATGAGAGAGATGGAGATAACAAACACCTATCACCCAACAAGCCAAGCTGAGATCATTGTGCCTCGGATGATGTTTTAAAACTAGGAATTTTTCTAGTAGGAAGGGTCTATTCAAGATATGGCAGCTATGGGTAAAAGCTGGAAGACATGCTTGGTGCTGTTAGTAACGGCTGAAGAATTACTGCACATCACTGTATTTAGGTATCACCTCTAAACAGTAAATGTCTTCTTCAGTCAAACACCAGAAATGGACCGAACCAGTTCATGGTCAAACACACTTGCAATACCTTGTTTTTCTACAATCACAGAAGTGACAGAGTATTGGGGTTTTCGTCCAAAATACTTGCATTTCTATTAACACAAACCAACGTGAGAAACAACAGTGTTGGGCTAAGGTCACAAATTAGTCCTAACTAAGGTTTTGAAAGTGATTCACACTCACTATTTTCTCTCACTAGCACACTTGGAGCGCTACCACTGCTACAAACGCCAGCATCTGTTTGGTAACACTGATACAGCAACTCCTTCAAAGACTCACAAATTTTGTGGAGGCAGTTTTCAGTTGCAAGTTTGCTCTGAACAGCCAAGATAAAATCTGAGTGAGAAAATGACTGTCTGCCCTTCAGGTACTTCCTCCGAGGCTGCTCTACTGTTGCACAGCCTCAATGGTCTTCTCGGCAGGCAAAGTAACAAACATATCATGAAGTCACAGTGGTGAACCTTCTCTCATTCAACTTCAGCATCCAAAAATACTCAAAACAAAACCAGAAATCTCAGTCTTGTAATGGAGCAAGGGTCATTATGTTTAGTTTACTTTCGGAAATTTTATTTTATCTGTTCATAAGATGCTATGACAACCGGAACTAGCTCCATCTCTTAAGCTCTTGCTCCTCTTTTGATTTAAAATAAAGTAATAAAAGGAAAAATTAAAGAAAAAGAGATCAGCTATTCATTTAGATGAACTTCCAAGAGAAGACCTAAGACTGAAAGGAAGACGGTAACTCTCAGAACCATGTTAGTTCTGCTTTAAAATCTTCCCACTTTCCCTGGCATTTCAGAGACCAGGAACAATTAGTGCTAACAGAAGACAGCAAATGTGTTTTGGGGAAGCTGTCAGAGTTTGAGAAGCTAAAGTTCAAGACAGAAGTTTTCTACATGCTGATAGTGCGTGTGTGTGTATATATATATATAGAATCATAGAATCATAGAATCATTAAAGGTTGGAAGAGACCTCCAAGATCATCGAGTCCAACCATCAACCCAATATATATA